GGAGCGGATAGATGGGGTGGGGGTGCAGGTATTTTGGGGGCACTGGCGTGTTGAGGGGAGCGGGGGGGTGCTCACGGGTAGGGGCTGGGGTCGCACGTAGCGAGGTGTTAGGGCGGGCCCACGTGCGTGTGGAGTGGGTGGCTTGGGGCAAATGGGGGTGTTGGGGCTTCGTCTGAGGGGGGAGGTGGCCGTGGCCGTGGCTGTGGGCACACCTGAGGCCTGCGGATGAGGCCCTGCAGCAGAGTGTGGGGCAGGGAGAGTGTTGGTGGGTGTCTGTGCAGCGACGGTGGGTCAGTATGTGCTGGTGGCAGGGAGGTGGTGGCCGCGGTGAGAGTTTGTGCAAGGGGCTTTGACAGGAAGAGGTGCCAGTGGACACGAGTGTGTCTTTTTTTCCATGCCATCTTCTACCAGTGCATCTGGTGGAGTTGGTGGGGAGGGAGTGGGACCAATATTGCTCTCCTGGGGAGATTTTTCTCACCATCCGCTTCTCCCACCTGCAGACAAAGCAACAAACCCCCTGAACAAGGACCTGGACTGGGATGGTATCAATGCTTTCTGTGAGCAGCTCAATAAGGAACTAGAGGGGTAAGTGCTTTGTCCTTTCCCCAGGCTGCTCTGGGTCACAGGCCTCAGTTATGATTTCCCACCGGGTAAAATTTGGCAGGGTTGTCCCAAGAGCTGAGTAGGCATGAAGCCTCTCAAAGTGGGAGCGGAGGGTGGGTCCTGGTGCACTAACAGAAGGTTCCCTCAGGGTTTTGAGGTGTCTTGGTGCTTTAAACTTACAACATGCAAGCTTAAAGTTTACCTTAAACTTGCAACATGCTTTTCAACCCTGGATTCTCAGACAGAAACACAGGTATCAGGCCTTTCATCAATAACCAGCTAGTTGGTTCTTTTTCCCCCCCTCACTCCTTCCAGTCCTCCACTTGCTACTCGACTTCTTGCCCACAAGATCCAGTCTCCACAGGAATGGGAAGCTATCCAAGCCCTCACGGTAAGAGCATCTGCAGGCTGGTAGAACTAGATGGAGAACTATGGTGTGGAGTTGCTCCAGTTTGACTGGAGGAGAACGGGAAGCTTTGAATTCCCTCTGAGAAAGCTCTGGAACACCTGGGCCCTTGGGTGGGAGAGGGACTGAAGTTGGTTCCGCAAGAGAGGAGGGGTGACTGGTAGGAAAGGTCTTGTTCCTAGAAAGGATCATAGCCTGTTAAAGACTTCTGGTTTATGTTGTGGTGGACTTGGCAGTATTAGGTTAACAGTTGTACTCGATGATCTTAAGGGTCTTTTCCAACCTAAAATGATTCTATGATTCTTAATCATGTTGTGAAACCCTGGTGTTTGTGAGCTCTCTAAGGGTATCCCCTTCCATGGGCTGTTGAGCCATCTCTGCAAAGACTGACCCCAAAGAAGAAAATCTTCTTGCTTCCCTTTGGGAGAGTGCTTAACCACCTGGGAGGGAGATGAGGTGTTCCTCTGTGCTTCTGTGAGGATAGCCACAGGCTTCATGACTAGTGAGGAGGGACCTGGCTCCTGAACCTGCTGCTGACCCTATGCTGGGGTTAATCGGTCTTCTCTCCCCAGGTGCTGGAGTCCTGCATGAAGAGCTGCGGCAAACGCTTCCACGATGAGGTGGGCAAGTTCCGCTTCCTCAATGAGCTCATCAAAGTGGTATCACCCAAGGTGGGTCTTGGGGCATCATGCTGGAGGGGACTGGAACCTGGTGGCAGGAGGGCTTTGGGAAGAAGTGGTGGCTGAGCAGAAAGGTCAGACACCTGCTTGGATGTGGAGGAAACAGGACAGTGCTAGTAGGAGATTTAGTCCTTGTTCCCTGATGAGTTTTCTGCTGGGAAGGTGAGCTTTCACTCCTCTGCTCCAGGCTGATTCTTTATGCAGTAAGCTGAGGGCCAGCTAGACATGATGCAGCCAGCGCTTGTGAGACTACTGACAGCACATGTGTGCCTGGAGTCACCTTCCCGGCATCTCTGCTGGGATCTGTCCATGCTGCATGTGCTCAGGAACCTCCCTCAGTTTTGACGTTGTGACCATGTCTCTCTGGGGTGTCCCAACCTATCTGAGACATTCTCAGAGGGCAAGCCCAGGCCTAGTCAGTGGTGCTCTGGCAAGTTAATCCAAAGCACCAAGTCATAGCCTGCTCCTCTGCTGATGCTGCTGTTCCTGCAGCAGAACAAGCTGTGTGTGCTCTCCTATTTAGCCAAGGCAGTTAACACTAGCAAGTGTAGAGTTAAGGAAACACAGACTGAATATGACTAAGGAAAACCTTTGTCTGCCAGTCACAGCTTGTGATCTGTGATGATGAATAGCCAGGGACAGTGAAAGCAGCATCCTAAAGTCCTCTCCCTAGGCACCCTAGAGAATGTCCTCTACGTTAAGCCATTGGCCTCTGGTCGCACGTGCACTGTTTCTACCACCAGTGCCCCTGGCAGACTCACAGGAGAAGGATGATTTCATGGCAGGGGGAGAGCTGTAACGTTTGGACATCTCACTGCTGGGTGCTGGTCATCTAGGGCTCACCTAGCTCTGAAGAGTGCCAGACACTTGTGCTGGGGAGTGCCGCTGCGAGAGAGGGCTTGGCTGTGCCCTAGGGACTGTTAGCCACAGTTCTTCCTCTCCCAGTCCTGCTGTCACCTCGTTCCTGAAGGGCTGCCTTGCTGAGCAGCTTCTGTTAGCAGTACCTTTTCCTTGACAAGGTGACAGATACCTGCCTGAGCCTTGCCATCTGTCCCTGTGTGTCGCTGAGGGGCTGCTGGTGCAGCATTTCTCCTACCTCTTGTGTTTCCTGTGGTGAAAACCAAGCACAACATAAGACATGTTGCAAGGGCCTCACGAGCTTTCCTACTTGCTTCCTCTTTCCCTGTCCTTGTGCCGTTGGGAACGGTCTCACTTCTCCTGGGGGAGGGGAGGAGAGGAACAGACCAGGCTTGCAATGGCTCAGATCAGCTTCAAGCCACCTCTTCTCTCTTCTAGTATCTTGGCAGCCGGACACCAGAAAAAGTGAAGTCAAAGATCCTGGAGCTGATGTACAGCTGGACATTAGGGCTGCCTCACGAGGTGAAGATTTTGGAAGCCTACCAGATGCTGAAGAAACAAGGTGAGAGGTAGTTGTCTGGAAGGGGAAAGTGGATGGACAGTTTGCCCTCCCTCATTTTTTGTCTGGGCAGAATCTGAAACAGACTTTCTCTTTCCTGTGCCCAGACCCAGCACATCCACCAGTCTGGCTCAGCACCAGGGGCAGGTGAAGGAGTGTGTGCCTTGGGGCTCCTAGCAGGGCAGAGGGAGTTGCTGGTGGTCTGAGTTCCTTGATGGGTTGGAGGGAACATCTGCTTGTTCCTACAGGAGGTGGGGCACTGGAAACGTCTGGGCTTGAAGGGCTGCAAGTGCTTTGACAGTTGATGCTGGGTTTCTCTAAGTGGAGGGCAGTTCTTCCATGAAAGTACAATCCAGGATCATGGGTAGCAGGAGCAAACCCACACACCCTCAGTTCCAGCTGATTTGGTGGGCTGTTAGGGAAGCAGAGACCTGTGTGGCAGTGCTGTCACCTGATGGGTGAGTCCTCCTGACCTCTCCATTGGTGTCTACTGCAGGAATTGTGAAGTGCGACCCAAAACTGCCTGACGATGCTCCTTTTCCGCCACCTCCCCCTCGGCCCAAGAACATCATCTTTGATGATGAAGAGAAATCCAAGGTAAGGTCTCTGTGCAAGGAGAGGCACAGTCAGCAACATCTTCCCTGCTCCAGGATCTCCTGACCCCCTGAGGTAGAGATCCAGAAAGAGTCAAGGCCCCTGCTCCACATGATGTTCTTCAGAAAATACATCACAGGAATACTGAGGGCCTGCTCCCAAACTGACAAAGGAAACAGCCAGAAGTGGGACACGTGGGTCTGACCTTTGGAGTGCTTAGCTGCAGGATGGTGCAAAGGGTGAAGTGCTGACATTAGTGCAGCAGGTTCTGGGAGGTTTGCTGCTGTGCACTCTCCAGGCTTCTGAGATATCAGGCCATGAGGTTTAAATCCCAGCCCCAGATGCTACTGCTATTATCTCTTCCCTACCCCCAGCACTGCAATCTGCTTACTGCCCAACTACTTGTACCCTCTTGGACCCATGCTATATTGCCTTTTTATCAGAATTGTCACCACTCAGACAAATCCCTGCATTATCAGTGCTGATACATTTAAGCAAGTATTGGGCCCTTCTGGGTCTAGTTCTGCAGCAGAGGGGCGATGCCAGTTTGCTGCAGGAGATATATTTTGCCTCCATGGGTCACAGTGTGCACATGAGGATATATAGGTGGCCAGTGGGACTGTTCACTGACCGCGGAGGGGGAGAGAAAGCAGGAGATGTTGCTTTTCTCCAGCTGTGCATGTGAAAGGGCACATGAAGAGGTCTGAGGAGGAGTCTGTTACAATCCCCTGGCAATTCCTGCATAAACCAGGCTTTCTCTCTTTCTCAGTACTAGTGCTGTTGTGATCTGTGCATGATGTGTAACAGGCAGGCAGGAGCAGCTTTTGAATGCAGGAGATCTTCAGGGAAAGACCTCTCTTACATAACCAGGACCACGACAGGAGAAGGAAGACCAGTTGTACTTCTCTCCCTGGCCTCTGATAGCCCACAAGCTCCTGTGGCTGGGCTTTCAAATGTCTGGCATTGTCTGCTGCCTCTGCCAGACACGGGTTTGGGGCAGGGTTAACTACTGTCTCCTGTGTTGCAAGAGTGACTCTGGCTGCCATGTCAGCCAGGGCTCAGAGGCACCTTCTCTTTTGCAGATACTGGCTCGTCTCCTGAAAAGCTCCCATCCTGAGGACCTCCGGGCTGCCAACAAGCTCATCAAGGAGATGGTTCAAGAGGTGTGGCTGGGGAAAAGGGGAGCTGGGGGGTCATGGTCTGGGTAGCAGTGGTTGGCACCAAGGGAGCAGTGGCTCTCTATCCTCAAGCATATGTATGGAGCTTCTGCCCAAAATTTTGCAGCAGCAGCTGCTAAAGAGTTGTTACGTGATTTCTGCCATCCCTTGGCTACTTGGAGGAATGGCTCTGGACACTTTGTGTGGCCTAAGCCCTGCTGCAGCACTAGATCTGCAGCAACTCCATCCCTGTTTGGCAAGTGCTGGCCCAGAGATGATCTGGAGTTTTCCTCTGGAGTGGGAGCTGTTTTGAGGGCAGTGTTGTGCCTTAAGAGTTGATGTGTTGGCTGGCCCAGCCTTCTTAGTCTCCAAGTTGTAGACAAGAGCAAGGACATCTTTCCCCTCCAGGATCAGAAGCGTATGGAGAAGATCTCCAAGAGGGTGAATGCCATTGAGGAGGTGAACAACAATGTGAGACTGCTGACAGAAATGGTGACAAACTACAGTAAGGGGGAGACAACAGAGAGCAATGAAGACCTAATGAAGGTGAGGAAAGCCCATCCCGGCATCCTTCTTGGGCTTAGCAGAGATGGGTAACCCCTATCCCCCCAAGTTCCTCCTGCCTGTTTTACACCTTCAAATGACCATCCTGCTGCTTGCCTCAGCACCCATTTCTCTTCTCCCCCAGGAGCTGTATCAGCGCTGCGAGCGCATGAGGCCCATGCTTTTCCGGCTTGCCAGTGACACAGAAGACAGTGATGAAGCTCTGGGTAAGTGTGTCTGGCCTTTCTCATTCTGTCCCATTCTCCCTCCATTTTTCTTTCAGGGAGCCTATGCTTAGACTGCCCATGGCATCTCTCAGCAGCTGCAGCTCTGTTTGGGGTAGCTACTCACTGTAGGTTAGTTAGTCTATGGCTTGGTACTAAGCAAGGGCACATGGCAGCAACCAGCTGTGTTACAGGCTTCTTCCACTTTACTGTAGGAATGAATGATGCTTGAGCTTGTCCTGCTGAGACTGCCGTGGAGGTGTGTCTATACCCTGGTGCAGTCTGCAGCAACAATTGAAAAACACTATCTTCAGTGGGCTGTTACCAGCTCCTTGGGCCTTGCTTTGAAGGAATAGACAGACTTGGGGTATAAAAGTCACTGTTTCTTCACAATTTACAAACTTGCTTCCCACCTACTCTGTTTCAGCGGAGATCCTGCAAGCCAATGACAATCTGACACAGGTGATCAATCTCTACAAGCAGCTTGTACAGGGAGAAGAGATCAATGGGGAGACAGTGGCTGCTTCCCTTCGAGGTGAGGAGACTTGGGGAATGGGGACAGGCAGGTCAGAGGAGGACCCTATTGCTGATTCCCTGCAATGTAGAAGAGGATTGAGAGAAGTGGAAAGGTGAAACCTGCAGGAGGTCAGAGTGGGGCTTGTGGAAATGACTGAGGCATGAAGAGAGGGAATTGGAAGGGAGAGCAGAGCGGGAATTCCCTTTCCCAGGTGTGAGGAAGGATGGGAGCTGTCATCAGCACACTGGATAAGGCCTGGATAAGGTTTCTATCTCTCAGTGTTTCTTCTTTTCAGGCAGCACCTCAGCACTTCTCGATCTATCAGGCTTGGATCTTCCAGCAACAGGCCCTTCCTACCCTGCCTTGCCCACCATTTCAGGTGGCTCAGCAGTTCCCATGCCTGACCAAGCTGGTTCTGTCTCCTTGCTGGATGATGAACTCATGTCTTTAGGTGAGAAATCCAGAGCAAAAGCTCATTATTCTCTCCTTGACTCTGGACAGTCTGCGTGGATGGTTCTTGTGGCAGAACATGGGGGAGAGCTTTGGGAGAGGTGAATAATGAAAGACCAAGAGGTATCCTTCACTTTGTGTGAGGGAGGAGGAAAAGACCCTGCTATCATTGTGAACCTCAGTCCTGTGGTGTTTTCCTGGCTAGTCAGAGAAAGCCTGCAAGGATGTGCCCTCTGGTTTGCTCTGGGAAAACTGACCTGGCAGGTACATCGGGAGTGATGCAATGGCCATCCCCAGATGGGATCACAAGGGTGGATCACCCCCAGATCCTCATGTTTACTCCTTGCAGTTGCAGATGTGCAGGGCTTCCAGAACTGCTCACATGGAAATCTTGTAAGGTGCAAATCCTAGAAGGCTCTAGAGTCCTGCTTTTCCCAACAAAGTCTTTGTTTCCTAAGAAAGGTCCTTTGAGTGCAACAGCATGAAATAGACAGTGTGGTCAGTCACGTTTGCCAGCCCAGTAGTATTCATTTCTCTGCCAACTGCAGTGAGAACTAGACTATACATGAGGATCTCTGAGCAGAAGAAACATGTTCCACCCTCGTGGCTCTCCCCCATGCAAGGATTAGGGCCAGAGATAGAGACCACATTGGTGGTTCTGGCCTGCTGCTTCTGTGTCTAATTCTCTTACCCACTTGGTAACTAAGCTTCATGTTTGCAGGCCTGAATGACCCAGCACCACATTCTGCCCAGGCTGCTGACAGCAGTGGCTGGAACAGCTTCCAGGTAATGTGCTGGGAGCCAGGGCAGAGGGTGGGGAGGGTGGTGAAAGCAACAAAGGGTATAGATAAGGGAACATCTGATGGTTGGTGCTGATATGTGACCCTGCTTGGGGGTGCTCTCCTGTGCACTCTTTTTACAGTCATCGGATAGCAACGACCTGAGTACCACCCCTGTCGCGGTAACGCCACCAGTCAAAGCAGATGTTGGCGCCTCCTCCCCCAAACCTTCTCCTTTCACCAGTGGCCTGGATGACCTGGACCTCCTGGGCAAGACCCTGCTGCAGCAGTCTTTGCCTCCAGAGTCTCAACAAGTACGATGGTAAGCAGGGGTGGCACAATCCTGCATGACTCCCTATTGTTTTCATTTCTGTGGTGCTGGACACGACATTCCAGTGCCCTGTTCCACTCCTTGCTCTCTCTCTCTCTCTCTCTCTCCCTCCCTCCCCCTACAGGGAGAAGCATCAGCCACCCCCACGGCTCACCCTGAGGGATCTCCAGAACAAGAGCAGTTCTGGTGCCGTGGCCCACAATCCCAGCTCTCTGCCTCTGCTCCAGAGTGTTTCCCCTAACCCCACGCTGCCCCTGACCTCAGAGCTGCCTGCCCCTGCTACTCTTCCAAAATCTGCCACCACAGCAGCAGGAAGTACCACAGTCTCACTGCGGCCTCCTGCCACTGTGCTGCCCCAGGAGATCTCGCTGGCCAACATCACTGTGCCTCTGGAGTCAATCAAACCCAGTGAGCTGGGGCAAAAGAGGAGGTCAAGCCTGGGGGGGAACAAATTATGTGTACATGGAAGGGAAGAATGTGAGAACTTCTTGCTTGTTGGGTTTTGTGAAGGTTAAGAAGGAGGCATGGTGTCTCTGTTACTTGTATGGAGTTTGGGTGATGGAGAAAGGTTGCTGCAGGGCTAGTAGCCTCCTGGCTGACTGCTGGTTGTCCCTGCCTTTCCCACAGGCAGCATCCTCCCTGTGACGGTGTATGATCAGCATGGCTTCCGTGTCCTTTTCCACTTTGCTAAGGATGCCCTGCCCGAGAGGCCTGATGTACTTGTGGTGGTGATTTCTATGCTTAGCACAGCCCCACAGCCCATCCACAACATCGTCTTTCAGTCTGCCGTCCCCAAGGTAAGGCAGCTTCTGGGGCTGAGGTTCCCAGACTGGGCCGAAGTGTGATTCTGCTTTTGCAGGAAAGGCAGGGTCAGTGGAGAGAGCTCTCTGGGGCTGAGAGCGAGTTGTGTTGCCTTCAGATTAGCAGGAACCAGCGCAATGCTTTTCTCTTCGACTAGGCAGTGGAAGCTCCCCAGATACAGTAGCAGGGCCTCTGGCTACCAAGTCCCCCTCTCTCAGGTATGCAAGATGCTCTTCTTTCTCCCTAGGTGATGAAGGTGAAGCTACAGCCTCCCTCAGGCATGGAGCTGCCAGCATTCAATCCTATTGTCCACCCCAGTGCCATCACACAAGTCCTGCTGCTTGCTAACCCACAGAAGGTAACAGCACCATCCCTGGGGCATGAGCAGAGGCTGGTCTTGCTGCCTGGATAAAGCCTGCCTGCCCTGTCCTTATTTCCTCTGCTTTCTGCATCTTCATCTTCCATCTTCCCCCACTTCTGACCGCTTATCCTTTCTTCTCTGTCTCCAGGAGAAAGTGAGGCTACGGTACAAGCTGACCTTTACCATAGGAGAGCAAACCTACAATGAAATGGGGGATGTGGACCAGTTCCCTCCACCGGAGTCCTGGGGAAACCTCTAGGGCCACATGTGACAGAAACACACTGCAGAGTCCTTGGGAAGCCAGCCCTGCAGGGCTGGAGCAGCCCGAGGAGATGGGGAGGGTGGGTGGGAGGCTGCTGCTCATGCTCTGTTCTCTAGATGGCCGGGCAAGGGCCAGAGGGAGCATGCCTTGAGGAGGAGAGCAGAGACGCCAGGAGATGTTCATTCCACAAGACTAGGAGCAGAGTGGAAAGCTTAGTGTGGGTGAACAGTTGCCTTCCCTGCTCTTCTGAAGGCGACACTCCCTCCCCACTCTGTCTAGCTTTTCTTCTAACCCTGCTTTTTCCCCTCTAGGTGCAGTGGGGAACAAGGATGGGAGCTTTAACAGCCTCAGCCTGAGCCAAGGCCTAGCAAAGGAAGATCCTTTTCCTTGTCTGTCTTCTCCATACTTCCCAGCCTTTCAGCTGCTTTGTGTTCTGTGGTGCTCCCTCTTGTCCCCCTTACCCCCTCCTTGGAGCCGGACCCCAGGGGTTCCCTGTGTGGTGGGATCACACTGGAGCTGGTGTGGAATAAGGCTGGGCAGGGACTAGGTGTCTCTCTTTAGGAGGGGTCAGGGGGAAGTGATCTTCCCTTATCTCCCTCATTTCAGCTGCTTACAGTGCTGTTGGTGGGAGGTGGGCCCTGGGGTCAGGAAAGGGATTGCTCCATGCCTTCCCATCCCCTTCACCTGTAGCTCCTGGGTGTTGAACTACTGCCACGAGGAAGCCCACGCCCTTCCGGTGTGCTTTATCTACCACAGCAAGCTTTGGGGACTGCTGCTGGGGTTTGTCCTGTGTGCCAGCCCCAAGAGGGGCTCTGAGGGGGTGAGTCTTCCCCTAGTCTCCTGCCAGACAAGGAGAGGAAGCAGCACATGCTCTTCGTCCCCTCTGGCTGAGCTGGAGAGTTTGGGGAGGTGGGGGGTTGGCTCAGCTCTTCAGGGTCTTCTCACAGTGGGGGGTTGGTGGTGGGCTGGGGAGTTGGGGAGCGACTGCAGCCCAGCTCATCATCAGGGGCACCACTAAGCTCTGCACTGGGAGCCCAGCGCTACAGTGGGGGGTGGGAGGGGGGTTACAGCTGTGCCTTGTGCACCTTTGTCCACAGCTGTGGGCAGGGAGCCCCCTGCAGCAGGGAGGGGTTTTGCCCCAGCTGCCTGATCACTGTGACACAAGAGCGGGGATCTGCAGGCACGGAGGAGACTGGGGTTGGCATGTCCTGAGTGATCTCCATCCCTATGAAATTTGCAATCACAGGAGCTGCTTCCCATCCTTAAGCTGGTTTTAAGAGGGTCTGATCTTAAAAGCAGGGGCAAGCTGTGCCCTACATCGGCTTGCCAGAGGTAGGAGGAGGCCTGTGAGATGGCAGTGAGTGCGTGGCTTGGGGGCAGCAAAGGTGAGGTGTCTTGGAGCTGGGCACAGCAAGTGGTAGAGGAGAGGGGGAAGGAAGGTCTTTATGCTGGGGTTCTGCTGTGTCTTACTTCCCTTTCTGGTCTCTTTTCAGGGTTTTGTATGGATTTTCTTCTTTGCAGATCTTGTTTGGTTCTTGAACAGACTTGTATATATTTTCAGTGCAAAATTCTGTAAATGGAAGAAAACAAACAGATTTAAAACAAACGCCCGGTGCGAATAATCTGCTGTATTTATGGGAAATAAAAGAGTTCTTTCCTCATCCTGTCTGCCTTTTTATCGAAGGAATGCATTTTCCTCTCACATTCTCTAACCCCCAAGGAGCTGTTTCCACCCTGCAAGGGGTTGTTTTCAGTTCAAATCCTGCTCCTGCAACCCTGTAATTCATCCCCCAGTCACCTGCGGCCTTGCCCCAATGATTTTCCCACTTGTGTGAGCAGGGAGTGGCGATGGTAGAAGTCCCCCATCTGCTCTCAATTCCTGCTTGATATCAGAGTCACTTCCAGGCTCCCAGCTTGGTGCTGCCTGCTTCCCTCCCACCTTGGGGAGGGGCAGAGGTCAGTGCCTCATAGCCCGTAGGGAGCAGGACTTCAGCTTGCTCCCATGCCTCACATGGCTGTTTGCAGCTTCACCACCACCTGTAGCAGCACTTCCTCCACTTCCTCATGGCTGCCTCTCAGAAGTGGCTCTGTGGTGCAGTCTTATTGCAGGGGTGCAAAGGGAGGTTCTGCTCTGACAAGCAGCACTTGGGGCTGGGAGCAGGCCTTTCATGGAAGGAAAGAGACCATGACTTGGTCACCACCTGATGAAGCCAGTGAGGATCTGCAACCTGGTTTTGGGCAGGGAGATGGATGGTCTCCACCTGGTCCCTGCTTGAAAACAGCTGCTAGCTCTGCTATGCACTCACAGGAGACTCACCCCCCTACCAAGTTGCAGAGCTCAGCAGCCCCCAAATTATTGCTCCCCAGGCTTTGAGGCACAGGTGGAGAGCCCCTTCTGTCTCTTTTTCCTTTGCTGTTTGTCTCATCTGTCCACAAGTCGACCACTTCCTGTTTGGGCTCGGGTGCTTGTTCGTTTGCCAACCACATAACCCAGTTGACAGCAACCTTCTGCTCTTTCTTAGTGCAGAAGCAGGAAAGTCCCAGCTGCAGGTAGCCAGAAAAAGGCAAGGTTTATACCTCATAAAGCCAGGAGCAACGGTGGTGGTGGTGGCAGTGTGAAGGGGATGTTTTCAGACCAAAAAAAAAAAAAAGCTGAGCCCCGGTGCAGAACTGCAGAGAGCAGGCAGCACATGAGCCTGGGAACGAGGAGTTTGTGGTCCCTGCGCAACTGTGCACAGGCACTGCTGCTCTGTGCTTGGCCTAGCCACCCCACCTCAGAGGAGCTTTTCCAGTGGTGGGGGAGTGGGGAGGAGGGGGGCCTCCTCAGGGCACAGGGCAACAGACCTTGGCTGCAGCTTTGCAGTGGCTCCGGACAGCCTCGGCAATGTCAGGGAGGGAAAGGGGGGGAGGAGAGCAGAAGGGGTTGCAGGGGTGGCTTTGTTCTTTGTCGCAATGAGGGGGATATGTCAGAGGGGGAAGAGGATGGAGCTGCACCCATGAACATGGAGAGGTGCCCAAGGGGCGTTGGCAGAGTTAGGGTGACTGGGTAGGGCAGAGTGTACATCAGGCACCCTGTATGTACCGCACAGCCAGCTGGCATAGCCATGGGCTGCCCCACAGTGCAGCTGATGGTGGGCAAAGCAAGGGAGAAGAAAAACCACCCCGGCTGAGACAGAGCAAGAAACAGAGCGTGGGCCCTTCACTCAGGCTCAGCAGCAGCGTGTACTTGTCATGCCTTGTTACGTGTTTGCTGTAATAATATTTCCCCTTTAAGGCTGGGCTGAAGTTATTTATACTTGTGGGGTGGTGACAGGAACACAGAGTGGAGCAGGAGCCCTGAGCTGCTCTTACCTGATCTGCAGCAGAGAGGCGAACAGAGGAGGAAGGAAGCTCAGAAAAAGAGAGGGAGCGACAGAAGGGAGTCCAAGGGAGAGGAAGAGAAAGCAGAGGCAGGGGATCCCCAGGGAGGTACAAGGGAGGGGACCAGCTGGGGAAACAGAAAAAGGGGGAACAAGAGAAGGAGGAAGGAGAAGAATAAGGAGGGAGAGGTCCTCAGAAAAAAGCAAGAGGCAAAGCAGCTCTGGGGAGCCAAGGGGCTGCCGGCATCCAATGCCAAGTGTCACCAAGGGGTGCTGAGCAGGTACAGCCAAGTGGAGCAGCTCTTGTGGTCTCCTCCCAGCTCTCAAGATGATGAAGAGGCAGTTTAATAGGATGCGGCAGCAGCTGTCCCATCCCAATATCACCAGCCGGTAAGGACTTCTCCACTACTTGTGCTGGAGGACTGGGAGGGAGTGGGATGTGGGTCCTGGAGGGCTTGTGCTGCAGCTGAACTGATGGCCTGGGGCTGGTGGCCTGGGAAAAGGGGGCAACGACACTGGGTTTAGAGAATCTTCAGGCTAAGCCAAGAGGCTGTGGCTCCCCAACTCCCCAGCACCTGCAGAGCAGCAGGAAGACTGTGCAGGTGCTGCTCAGCAGGGACATTATCCCCAAGCCCAGCTACCTCTTCCAGGGCCCACAGATGCTGCGTCTGCCTGGAAGCAGCCCCTTCCCAAGCTTGGTTTTCCCAGGAAAGAAAAAACCGCTTGGCTGTGCGGTGATCAGGAGGGTGTTAGGAGCTGGGCACCTGCCTGCATACCCCACAGGAGCCAGATACCCTGCATAACTCTAGCTGGCCCACCAGCGTGGGTATCCTGGGATGCTCTTTGAGGAGAGAACCAGACATCCTCAGTGCACCCATAGAGGACTTACAGCTTCATACAAATCCCTCTGGCCCCATACTACCTCCACCGCTTCCTTATTTTTGTCTGGCTTTCTAAAGCTCTCCCCTTGCAAAACCTAGAACTGAAATTACAGGGCTGGGCCCTCCCTTCCCAGCCCCCTCACTCCCTCTTTCCTACAGCCACCTCCGCAGGTTCCCTAGCACTGGGAGGCTGAGCGGCACCAACCATGTCTCCTGGACCACTGAGGTCCTTCAGCCAGCCCAGCAGACCAGTCACAGGGAAGCAGCTCCTACATCCTGGTGGCCTCTTGCTGTTCTTGCATTCCCTGGAGGGGACCATGATCCCCGTTCCCATCCCTTTTCCCTCAAGATGTCTCATCCCCATGTTACATGCGACTCCCTTTCATTTAGTGCAAGTCTCAAGAAGTTTGTGCAGTCCAAGAGCAAGATCCTCACTTGCTGCAGATCCTCTCTTCCATGGGCTGCAATCTCACGTGATTTTTCTTGCCTTCAACCAAGCCGCCCCCGTTTCCTGTGGCTCCACGCCTTGTCCCACACTGGCTCTGGCAGGCGGTGGAAAGAGAGAAACATGAAATGGGGAAAAAGCAGCAGCAGCAAGCAAAGGGGTTCCCAGGGTGTAGCAATGGCAGTGTGACATGAAGCAAGGTTTCCTCTATGGGAGGCATCAGGGACATTTGGTGGTGATGGCAGCTCCTGGGATTTGAATTTAGTTTTGAGCAGAATTTGCTGCAAACCAGAAGTTTCCTTCATCAGATTCGCTCCTAATACCTCCTGCAAAACTGAGAAGCAAGTTGGTTTCATGTAGGTGTTTCTGGAGACGCTGCTCTCCAGCTTGACCACAAAGATATCCACACTCTGGCACCAGTGGCCCCACAGCCAGTGGCTACTCTGGTCTGCAAAGACGTGCCAGTCTCCAACAGCACTGCCCTGGATTCACCTTCAGGGGAGAGGTGAGCGCTCAGGGGTAGAAGGTTTCACCAGCAAACATCTCACCCCTGCCATGGCCCAGTTAGGCATTGTGTCTCCAAAAAACAGGCCACTTCTGAACATTTTGACTGCGGTGCTCTGAACTGGAAACCCCATCTGATGGGGTGTCCACCAGCCAGCAAGGCTGGCTGCCTTGCCCTGCTCCTGCTGTTCTCATGCCCCTGGGTTCATTCTGCCTATCGTTTTGTGTGCAATGGTCCAGGCCACAGCCAGCATCTCCTGCTTCCATACCCCAAAGAGAGGCGGGTGGGATGCATAAGGACCTGCCTTCCCGAGGAGGCTGGCTGGAGGTCCCCCCATCTGCTGATAGCTCCTTCTTCTTCCTCCACAGAGCCCAAGAAGCAACTGAGCTCCTGCCAGAAGATCTGATGCAGGTGGGGCGCAGTATGGGCTGGCAGGCATGTGCCTGCTTGTGCCTGGGTGTGGGAACCTGCCCTGTTCCTGCCCGTGATTTGCCCTGCCAGCACATCCAAGTCACAGGGCTGGGATCTGCCCATGACTCTGGGACCACAGCGTTAAGGGAAAGTCAGGCTCCTGCCACAGGAAAGGGCTTCTCCAGTTGCTCACTGAGGGATGAATCCTAACCAGGAGATGTGCTTCCCTTTCCCTGGACTGGGGATGCTCTGGGCTGTGGGATGCTGGGCAGGCCACCTACACCCAGAGCTAGGTGGTGAGGAGATGACCTCAGGGTGCCCACAGTTGGCAAAAGGGCTTCCTCAGTCCCACCTTTCTGTCCCCAGATCGAGCAGAGGATCGAGCCAGCCAAGCGAGCAGCTCACAACGTGTCCAAGAGGCTCCAAGCCTGCCTGCAGGGGCAATGTGGCTCTGAAATGGACAAGCGAGTGGTGAGTAGAGTCCTCCCACCGCAGCCCATGCTCACCTCAGCTCTGCCCCTGCCAGCAAAGGGCTTGCCAGGCCCCTGGTTCACAGGCTTTGCTGAAGGGTGGCCCAAAGCTGTGCCCAGTCCAAGTCCCATCTCCAACAGTGGCCACTGGCATGTGCCTAGGGAGAGCAGAGCAGGGCAACCCTCTCCAACCATTACTAACTTGAGACACTCCTGAAATAGAGACGGTGTGTTTGCATTGAATAACCCTCCAATGCCCTGTTGTTCATGTCTCTTCCCAAACCCCTGTGAACCTCTGGCACTCACAGTGCCCTGCAGTGAGAAGCACCACAGTGCAGCTGGGCACAGTGGTGCCACCATTTCCTCCTCCTCAGTTTGGACCTGCCACCCTCTTCCCGGCAAGTGCTCACCAGCCCTTGTCTAGGAAGCAAGCACTGGATCCCTCAGCAGTTTCCTTAGTCCCACCATGATTTTGTGAGGTTCACTCTTCTTGGCAACCTGACAAGCCCCATCTTGGCTTAATTACTCTCAGTGATTAAACTGATCTATACATTTGAAGCCATGGCAGGACTGGGCTTGGTAAGGGCTTCCACCACTGTCACAGTCCTTCATTATTTGGGGGAAGGCTGGAAGTCTTCTAACCTACTATGAAGCCTTGGCGCCTTGTTTAGCTAACTGGATCCTAGCTTTGGCTGAAAGGATCTAAGGGGGCCTTCCTCAGGCTCCAGGGCCAACGGGGAAGATGTGGACACCCAGTGCAGGGTTTGGCCACTTGCTCCTATTCTATAGTGACATGCTTCACAGGGAGGGAGCTGCCACATGCCAGCTCACCATCCCTGTCCTGAATCCTTGGCTCTGTGCAGAAGAAGTTGCCCTTGATGGTTCTGTCCATGACGATGGCTGAGAGCTTCAAGGAACTTGACACAGAGTCCAGCCTTGGGTAAGTCCCTATGAGACAAAGTGGTAGGGGCAACTCCGAAAGATGCCAGACCCTGGCAGAGCCTCTGTCTTGGCTCAGGGGCTCCCACAGCCAAGCTGAGCTGTCAAACCTTGTCCTCAGAGCAAACGCTGGCATTGGAGTGGAAGAAGGGACAGTCAGCACCTTCACCTCCAATTGCAGAGGGGGCAGGGTCTAGGTCAGGATCCCACGTGGGTATGGGTATAGCAGGGGTGTTGGGTCAGAGAGTGGCATGGCTTCAGCCTACACTCATTTCATCTCTGTCCCCATGCAGGAAAGCCCTGGAGATGGGCTGCTGCATACAGAGCTCGCTAGCCAAAATCCTGGCTGAGTTCGAGATTGCCCTAGAGCATGATGTCCTGCAGCCACTCAACAGGCTCAGCGAGGTAGTCCTGGCCATCCTCCCCACTCTCTTCTCCTGTCCCACCTTCCCTTCCCCTTCCCCAAGCCTCCTACACTCACTGTGGTCCCCCTCTCCCCTAGGAAGAGCTTCCCATTATCCTGAAGCGCAAGAAGACTCTCCAGAAGTTGATTTCTGACTGGAACATAATCAAGAGCCGGTATGGGCACATTGTGGCCAAGGATCCAGGGCATATGGGGCACAGCCCCCAGCCAGGTCAGGGAGAGAGGAAGATGACTGCCCTGGGGAGTGAATTTCCAACAGCTGGGGGTGAAGTCCAAGAGGAAACAGGTCTTTGGGTGTGTCCAGCCAACCCCTCTCTGCAGATGCATCTCACTCTGGGCTGAGCTGCTGGCTCCATGGCACAGGAGAGAAGGGCAGCACCATTGTCAAAGGCAGCAAAGTGCCCCGGTGCCACTCAGTGCCACTGAGATTGACCCACTCCGACTCTTTCAGGGTAGTTTGTGCTGTGCCATGTTTCTCTGGGAGAGTGGGGCAGCCATGGGTCATTTCCACACTGTCCTTCCTTTGGCTGGAGGGAGAAGAGGAGATCTCAGGAACAGGGCTTGGGAAGGGTCCTGCAGACCCTGAGTGTTTCAGTCATCCTTGCTGAGCGCCCTCTGACTTGACCAGGTCGCACCTATTGATGTGGCAGCATCTTCTGAGTGAGGAAAGTGAGAGGTGCTGGCCTAGGAAAACCATCACAGGGCAGTATTGAGACTTGCTGTCCCCCTAATGATCCCCATACCCCTTATGCACACCCATCCCACCTCATGTCCCTGACACTGAGGTCTCTTCTTTCCCACCACAAAGGCTGAACCAAGCTGCCAAGAGCTCTAGTTACAGCACTGGTGCTGGCACTGGCCCGGGAGCATCTTCTGCTGCCAACAAACTGGAGATCTTAAGGGAAGAGGAGGAGGAAGTGAAGAGGAAGGTGGAGCAGTGCAAGGTGAGAATGTCACTCTACCCCACTGGGCAGCTCTGGGGCTAGAGACTTGCTCCCCTCCAGTGGCTCTATCCAAGGTAACCTCATGCTGAGACAGATGGAGTCAGGCAGCAAAATGGTCCCTCAAGAACAGAAACAGGGATATGGCCCAAGCGCAGGGAAGAAAAGTAAAGGATTTAAAGCACAAGCTGCTGCAGAGAGGAGGCTCCAGGGGCTAGAGCAGGGAGCTTGTGGGGTACCCTCGGACTGGGAGCCAGTCAAGCTGGAGTCTGTGCTGGATGGCAGGTGACTTTCACATCAGCTTTCTCCACCTCTGCCCTGTTTCTCTGAAAAGCCCTGTGCCTTGTCTGATAGAGCCCATGGACTCACCAGAGTTGGAGGTGCAGGGACCTCTTGTCCCTGAGCCACTTGTACCAGGACCCTGATCGAAGGGCAGCTTGCTGCCACTACCTGAATGCAAGTGATGGGGACAAGGAGAGATCCCCACACAGTCCCAGCCTGCTTCCCCAGTGCACCCCAGAGACCCTGTCTGGGAAACCATGGCCCCAACAGGGGGATTCATTAAATCGTCCTTGGGTGCCAGGGAGAAGGTGGAAGGTTGCTCTCCCCTGTGTCTCCCTACCCAGAATGAGTACATGGCTGACCTCTACCACTTCTCCACCAAAGAGGACAGCTATGCCAGCTACTTCATCAGAGTAAGTCCTCTCTCATACTCCTCCCTCTGTGTGTGCACATCTCCTGGGGTATGTGTGAGCCTAGCCTTGTCCCCATGCACACCAAGCCCCCTGGCCAGGGCAGAGGACAGCCCCAATCACTAGCAAATGCCCAAAGCTAGCCTTGCTCTCTGCACTGTGAGTTAATACCACCACTATCACCAACTGCAGAGTGGCTTGTCCCAATGACTGCCCCCCTCCTCCAGTTTGCCCACTACCCCTCACTATAGCCACAGTCCCACAGATCGCAGGGGATTACCCTTGCAGCTCCCCCTTTGCCCTGTCTCCATGTGGGTGCAATGTCCTGGGGACAGGGGTCTCTCTGAGAGGGGCTGATGCCAAACTGAGAGCTGTTTGTCTGTCTCCTGTCCGGCAGTTGCTGGAAATCCAAGCCCAGTACCACCGGCAGTCCCTAGGATCGCTGGACTCTGCTCTGGCAGAGCTGAAGGAAAGCCACAGCCAGTCAGGTACCTGCCAGCTCTCCATGCAGCCTGGGGAGAACCGTGGCCAAGCCCAGGGGATGCAAGTATGGCTGGTGAGGCTGGGAAAGATAGGTTTTTCCCTCCCTTTGCCTGCCATTGCCTCCCACATCAAGCTGGTCAGTCGGGAACTGCAGCCTGAGGCAGGATGGGGATGCTGCCTGCACTGCCTCTGCCTCCACCCAGACAGGCTTCGCTTGGAGAGAGATGTAGCTGTGGCTATGTGCTAGATGTCCCTGGTGGCTGCTGTCCCCCCCAACATTTTCCCCCCTCTTCCAGAGCCCTCCTTCACTGCAGACATTCCGGTGGTGGGGTACTACGGTGTGCCCCTAGAGACACACCTCAAGAGCTTGGGCCGGGAGATTGCACTGCCCATCGAAGCCTGTGTCATGATGTTGCTGACTGCCGGCATGAAGGAGGAGGTAGAAAGCACTCCTGATTCCCCCACCACCCTCCCCCCCAAGAGTGGAGACCCTTGCATCCCTTCCTTCTTTTCTCCATCCCCAGGGACTCTTCCGGCTGGCAGCAGGCGCCTCAGTGCTGAAGAAGCTGAAGAGCAGCTTGGGCAGCGGCTCCAATGCCCTGGAGGAGTTTTACTCGGACCCCCACGCTGTGGCTGGTGGGTGCCGGCAAGGCAGGATGGGCGGACACAATCAGGCAGTCCCTGCTGTCCCCTAGCTGCCATCACCCCCTCCGCTCCCCCTCCCCTCCCAGGTGCACTGAAATCCTACCTGCGGGAGCTGCCCCAGCCTTTGATGACCTTCGAGCTCTACAATGAATGGGTCAAAGTGGCCAGGTGGGTCCAGGCGTTGGGGCAGAAAAGCCTGGCAAGTCTCAAAAAGCCCCCAGTCACCCCCCTCCATCCCTCCCAGCACCCAGAGCTGGGCTGCTTGGCCTCGTTTGCCATGTGGGGAGATACAAATACAGCATCTGGTCTGTCCCATGCTTGACAGAAATTCATATGGCCCAAAATCTTGGAGAATAGCAATAAAAAGCACAGCAAGGCAAGGTGAAAGGCTGCAGCCTTTTTAATTGCAAGAAGAGCTTAGTTTGTGAAGACCCACTTGGCCTGAATGGCATGAGACCCTTCTCACCAGACCACTAGCCCAGTTTGGCTTCTTGCTTTCGGGATGGAAGGGGTGGTGGTGGAGGCAAAGCAAAAAGCCTGGGGAAAGGGGGAGAGCATCTTTCTGAAGGGGTCAGCTCAGTGCCAGTGAGTCCCATAGTTACAGTGAAATAGAGTGGCTGTTTGTGGCAAGGCAGTGCTCATCCCCAGGCCACCCACTAAAGGCAACAGCAGGTCATCTCCATCCTCAGGGCTATGGCCCGCACGGGGTGGCCGACACCAGCCTTCCTCTCTTGCACATTGTGTCCCTCTCTGCCACTGGCTGAGCTCTCCGCTCCTCCTTCTTCTCTCTTGCAGCTTAAAGGACGTTGACAGCCGCATACAGAGCCTGAGAGACACCTGTAGCCACCTGCCCCAGGAGAGCTACAACAACCTGAGGTGTTTTGCAGAGACAAGGCTTCTTTGGCCCCAAGCAATCACAGGGGGTAGCCATTCCCTCCCAAAATCTATACTTATGCCCCTTCACTCTCTTTTTACCTCCCAGGTACCTGATCAAGTTTTTAGCCAAGCTTGCAGAACACCAGGAGGTAAATAAAATGACCCCCAGCAACATCGCCATCGTGCTCGGTCCCAACCTGCTGTGGTCACAGCAGAGCACAGGGTAAGGCCCAGGTGGGAGGGGTGGGAGGCAGCTCCCCATCCCCAGCTGGGGTGCCCTGAGTGCAAACGCCATAGGAAAGGCTGAGCCAGCAGCCTTCAGGCTGATCTAAAGCACCTGCACCTCTTCCATCCTCAAGTCCTGTCCCTTGTTCCTGCAGTCCTCACACAGCATGTCCCCTCGCCAAGAGACTGAGACCCATATTTGTGACATGAATGGCCTCCAACACCACTGGCCTCCAACACCAAACCAGGGTTTCCAGGACAGGGAACAAGGCTCGCCTCCTGCCCTACCACTCCCCTCAGCTAGACTATCTCCCCTTCAGGCTCTACCCCCTCAGGAATTAACACCAAAAGAGTTAACGAAGCCCTGAAACCCCTTTTCTGATGGTCCCCCATCCCTGTCTCTCCAGAGACCCCATGCAACTAGACTTGGCCTCGGTCTCCTCCATCCAGGTAGTAGGCGTGGTAGAAGCCCTCATCCAGAACGCGGACAGCCTCTTCCCTGGAGGTAGGGCCAGAACCTCGCTTCGGGGGCCACAGCCCTGGGTGAAGGGGGGAGCAAGGAAAGGGACATTTCTCCATCCACAGCAGGAGGGAGGTGGGGGGGCTGCTCTGGTTTCCTGCTGCAGGGTCATAAGGGGAAGCTGGGTGACAAATGCTTCCTCATGGGGTCTCCTCCTTTCTCTCCACCCAGAGGTAGATTTCAACGTTTCAGGCATGTTCACACCACCTGCAAACAGCAGACTTGATGAGGCCCCTCTAGTGGAAGAGCTGACGCCAGAGCCCCCTCCGTTCGGCAACTCCACTCTCCCAGATGGAGAGGTGTAAGTCCAGTGGGAGCTGGGAGATCTGGCTGAGCCAGCTCTCCCCACATCCTCCCCCCACCCCACGCCAGGGGCCATACCCTCACAGGTGGATGCACGGTGCCTTGTGGCCAGGATGGCCATGCCCAGACAAAGCATGATTTGGCCCATTCTGTGCGCAGCACCTCGAGGGACCCTGAGGCCAGGTCCCAGCCAGCACCTCCAGCAGTGACCAGACCATCTCCTGAAGCTGTGGGATCACCAGCTCCAACAATGACTGATGCCACCACCTGCAAAGGTTAGGGTACCCCAGACAGCACGGTGCTTGGGAAATGACACCCCCCAGTGCCACCTCATCTAGTTTGCCTTCATCCCACCGTTCCCTGCACAAAAGGGTGCTGGGGACATCCCTGCCACCAAAGCCAGAGGAAGGGCCTCTGGCTGGGGAAGCATGGGCTGGGATCCAGCCCCTCATTGTGTGCTCCAGCCCCAGCTGAGGTGGAACTGTAGGATAGACATGGCAGGTCCTCCAGTGCTGGACTGAACACCCCCCCCTTAAAGAGGTGTCAAAGGTCACTTGTGAAGGGAAGAAGGTGGGGAAAGCCCTCAAAACATTAGATGTGATGTTGGGGATATGGTGTAGAGAAGAACTTTGTAGAGTAGGGCTGATGGTTGGACTTGATGATCCCAAGGGTCTTTTCCAACCCAAACGATTCTGTGACTCTCTGAAAAGCTGGTGTGCAGGGTCTCCAGTATGGGAGCTGGTCAAGGGGCAGTTTGTCTGTCAGGCTGCCTGCAGCCCCCTTCCTGACCCACGGCCAGCACCCCTCTGCTCCAGGGAGAGAATGCGGCAGAGGGGACCTCAGCTCACCCCAGCTTTCTTCCCAGGCAAGCGTCCTGCTCCAGCCCGACCCATGATGCCGCCGCCACCCGTGGCCCAGCCTCGGAGCATGGCTCCCTCCCCGGCAGCCCCCAAGCACACAGCCATCCCCAAAGCCCGGCCACGACGGATGGTTGGGGCACCCAGCCGAGCCCCCTCTGTCCCGCCACCGCTCCCTCCACAGCCGGCACACCGCCACAGCCGAGATGCCCCGCTGTCCCCCAGGACTTCCACTGGTGATGCTGAAGCCCCAGCTACCATGGACTGTGCCCCGGGAGCTGCAGATGAGGGGCAGCCACTGCCTGTGGGAGGAAGGAGCCCCGTAGCCACATCACCACCAGCAGGACTGCCCACGGAGAACTGAGCAGAGTGTGGGGCACAGGGGCAATGCAGGGCCAGGGAGATGGGGTTTGGTGCCCCTCTGAGACCCAGCAGGTGCTGCAGAAACGCCAGGGTGGCCTAAGGGACAGCCCACCCCCCCAGCTCCTCCATCCCGCTCCCTTGGCTCAGCCCCACTGGGACCCCCCGTCTGCATCTCCTTGCTCTCCAGTGCCCACAGAGCCTTCCTCCCCATGGCACCACGGACCCAGCTTCCTGGCCAGTATCCCCCGATCGATCGCGGTGAGCCACCCACCCAGCCACCCACCGAAGGGCAGGAGGGGGCTAGGCAGGGCAGCTCCCAGGCACCGCCTGCAGTTTTGGGGATGGCATGGGCAGGTTGGCACACTGGGGCCATTTGCAGGTGCAGAGCTACAATCCCAGCTCCTTCTGCCCTATCTTGCCTTTTAACGTGTTGCCCCAGGAACACACAGGCAGATACATATAAATATTTTTTTTTTTTTGCAACGAAGTTATTTAAAGAGCTGGTGTCAGAGTTGCAGGCAGGTGTGAGCAGGGCACACTCGGCAGCCCGAGGTGCTGGAGGCCGCCCGCCCCGCAGGCTGCAGCCAGGAGGAGGGAAGGGGAGCTCCCCAGGGGCGGCAGCGCGGGAGGCAGCGCTGAGCCGCGGGACGGGAGGGCGGCCGTCTCCACCGGCCCGCGGGAGGACAGGACCAAGCGCTAATGTCGGCGCCCTTGCCCGCGGCCCCGCCCGCCA